AGCAGGTTAAACCACACTGACCATTGCCAAAGCCGCGACAAGTGGGGGCGCTTTGGCGAATCTCGATCGCTCATGCGATTGCGAAACTTGTTTGGACCAGGCTGGCTCGAAACCCTTTAGTGAAATTTGACGACTAGTGTAACAACCCTACGCGGCTGCTCTTGACTCATAGTGTCGTGACTGCAGAAGCCCAAATTCCAGTTCGGTGCTCGTCCCCCAAATTATCCCTAGTGCCACACGCATCTTGAGGTCGTCAAAGTCCTAGCCATGGCTCTACCGTGTTTAGATGGTAAGCTGGCCTTTCAGCCGATTTCTATGCCCTTTCCCTACGGCGGAGGCTGGCTCGACATAAACGTGGAACACGCCGACAGGCTACGACCCGGTGAATGGGTCAGCGGGATCGTAATTGATTGGCTCGGTGTGTGAGTATCACGGTTAGGAAATCATAAGGCCAGATTCGTCACGGTTATCTCATGCGTTTCCTTTGTCGCAAATACGCGCGTGCGCAGGATGCTGCAGTACGAACACGGTCGCGACCGCAACAAATGGCTTTACAGTGGATCATATTTCTGGGAATATGCTAAGAAGGACATTTTGCGGCGTGAAAACGCCTATACTTTCGGCCTGGGTATTTTCGATTTCACATATGTACTCGTTCCGATAAATACCGAGTGAGTAGTCGTCGCGTCTAGCCGTAGCACCATATGTATTTCGGTAGTCTAACGTCGGCGTTACTGATGTTAGACCTCATGTGTGCCTTAGGAGTCACTGGAGCCTGATCGTGATCGAGCGCATCCCGAGGCCCGACGACCCGATTCCCATGAACTGCGTGCTCTGGCACGCTGACTCGTACGGCACGCATGCCGGTGTCGACGCCCCGTTGCGAAGGTACTCTCTTTTTAATGGCAGTCTGCTATTGTCACGTACAGAAGTTCGGGGTTACGATAGCATTGAATCTATGTCTCCCGGTGTGCAGGTACTTACGAAACGAGGTGATAAGATACTGTGCATGGATCACTGAGTCGGACGCAGATGCATGGGCGGCGAGCATCCCACTAAGGCAGGTCACGGTGAGTGCTGTTGCCTTGTGTGTACGAGCTTTGAAACAATCGCATCTCCCTTTCCCTGCACGCAATTTCCACACCGAAACCCCACTCCCGTCCCGGCCCTCACCACGCGCTCACGCACCCTGTGATTGTCCAGATACCCATGCAGGCAAATGAGAACGACTGTGGTGTGTTCACGATGCGTGTGATGCACACGTTGGTCGAGGATGGTTTCCATAAACTACCGGCGTGTGAGCTTGTAGGGACGCCACTCCATTGGCGCCGTCAGTACCGTCACGATTTGAGGAAGTGGTCTGTGTATTTTCGGGCAAAAACAATGTTGGAGGTTGGAGGTGGGGCATGCAGCGGTGAAAAGCTGGTAATGGGGCGGGTAGCAAGCGAGAATGAGGCGGGAAGCATGGGGGAATGAGGCCCGAAGCAAGGGGGAATGGGGCCTGAAGCAAGGGAGAATGAGGCGGGTAGCAGTGAAGAATGGGGTGGGAAGCAAGGGGAAATGGGGTGGGTAGCAGGGGGGAATGAGGCCGGAAGCGAGGGGACATGAGGCGGGAAGCAGAGGGAATGAGGGGGGTCGCAAGGGAGAATGAGGCGGGAAGCAAGGGGGACGCGGCTCTGAAGCAAGGGGGAATGAGGGAGGTAGCAAGGGAGTATGAGGCCCGAAGCAAGGGGGAATGAGGCCTGGAGCAAGGGGGAATGGGGAGGGTAGCAAGGGAGAATGAGGAGGGTAGCAGTGAAGAATGGGGTGGGAAGCAAGGGGGAATGGGGTGGGTAGCAAGGGGGGATGAGGCCGGAAGTGAGGGGACATGAGGCGGGAAGCAAAGGGGAATGAGGGGGGTAGCAAGGGAGAATGAGGCGGGAAGCAAGGGGGATTGGGGCCTGAAGCAAGGGGGAATGAGGGAGGTAGCAAGGGAGTATGAGGCCCAAAGCAAGGGGGAATGAGGCCTGAAGCAAGGGAGAATGAGGCCTGAAGCAAGGGGGAATGGGGAGGGTATCAAGGGAGAATGAGGAGGGTAGCAGTGAAGAATGGGGTGGGAAGCAAGGGGGAATGGGGTGGGTAGCAGGGGGGAATGAGGCCGGAAGCGAGGGGACATGAGGCGGGAAGCAGAGGGAATGAGGGGGGTAGCAAGGGAGAATGAGGCGGGAAGCAAGGGGGATGCGGCTCTGAAGCAAGGGGGAATGAGGGAGGTAGCAAGGGAGTATGAGGCCCGAAGCAAGGGGGAATGAGGCCTGAAGCAAGGGGGAATGGGGAGGGTATCAAGGGAGAATGAGGAGGGTCGCAGTGAAGAATGGGGTGGGAAGCAAGGGGGAATGGGGTGGGTAGCAAGGGGGGATGAGGCCGGAAGCGAGGGGACATGAGGCGGGAAGCAGAGGTAATGAGGCGGGAAGCAGGAGGGAGTGAGGCGGGTACGTGGGAGGAATAAGTGTGTGAGTGAAGAACAAGGAAGCGGGTAGCATGGGGGAATGAGGACAAGATCAATAGGGAATTGTTTATTCATCCGTCCTGCCAGCTTGATATGCCAACAAACATGACACAAAGCGCAATGGAGAGGCCTTGAATCAGTCCTGCATGACTTGACAACAAGTGTGGCCAAATGAGAGTGTTGGCCACAACCAGTCCTCCATGTCTAGGGAACACTACCCGTAGGGAAGTGTTTGTCATTGGCGTTCCTACTTGACATGTATACAAACAATACACAATGGGTCAGTGTGATGCTACAAAACATACCTGCATGTCCCCACAACTCTAGTGGGTAGAACAGCAGGGGTTTCTCAACTCCGTTCCAGCATGAACCTAGAACATACAACACAGCATGCTCTTGGGTCCCTGCATAAAGGTTGCCCTGTATGGCATGAGAGCAGCCATGCCCCATACGGGGAGTTTGTGTTTGGCTCTATTATTATTGCACCTCAATTGGCATGAGAGGAGACATGCCCATACGGGTTGCATAACGACCAGGCAGCAATCAAATAATGCATACTTACTAATCAATCGATGTATCAGAATGACTGCTCCACCACAGACCGTTATGTGCATGTTCTGTGAAGGTGGTGTTTGGTTTTACACTGTTATGTTGCATACTTGTCACTATGCTAATGGGTTAGGGGGACTCCTGTTACGAGTGCAATTGAGTGAGCGAACGAGGATTGCACTATCGGGAAAAAAGTACAACTGAGCGAAGGTATGAGCGAAAGGTTATATAGCGAAACCACAGTGGTAACGGTAATGGACTGTGGTTGTCGCGCGACGGGCCTGGGACTGAGGTTGGGAAAATGTCGAGGAGAAGGTCCGGAGCGCGGGTTACCGCCGAGCCGTGAGGCCGGGGTGCGACGTGCGAAAGTGGCGGGCGGATTGTCGATGCGAGTGGTAACGGTGCTGACTGAGGTGCTACAGTGATGTACGCGTTGAGCAGGGATGCGAAGTAAGGAAAACGAGATTTTCCTTACAACTCCATAACCCTCTAATTCTATTTTTATCATGTACGTACACCACACTATTGAGGCTTTGCAAACTAATGTGCCATTACGTGCCCCGCCATGCGCCATTCCACTCGACTCCACGCTATGCCACGTACGCGAATCTCCCTGATTTGCGAACCAGTCGCAACCACACACAAGGAACTTTTGAGTCTGCGTTTTTATCGCAGGCGTGCCGCAACGGCTTCGTGTCGACCTGTCGCATCGCTGTACGACTTGCTGCGATCGAGCGTCGCCGTTTCTCCGCAGACCCTATGTGACTCTTGACGTGCAGCTTGTGTAGGTTTGTGTGGCACGCGAGGCACTTCATTGTAAACAGTGCGACAACCCGGGCAGAATAATTATGACCCTCGCAAACCCAGATACAGTAGCGCATTTGACTGTCGGGTTTAACAAAAAGAAGCCCACCCTGCCGCTTGTGGACTGATACTCAATTGAGCACGTTAGGTCCCACGGAATCTTAACACGGCAGTGCTGCATTTTTTTCCTTTATACACCTCAACCACCAGGCGATTGGTTGTTGGCGGAAAAGGGGGACCTGGCAGTCGCAACGTGCACCATAGCAGGAAACACTCAAACCCTTATCACCTCCGTGCTCCCCTTGCATGCCTCCAGCTGTGACGATCGTCTGCTCTAGGCCCCAGACTTTGCCTCGTCCCTCTCCCTCCTCAACCAATTTTTTATGCTCGTAGACTGCTGTCAGGTTCTTCGCGGTAGCACAACCCGCAACCTCATAGTACTGCGTGAATGGAAAGCTAGACATCGTAACAAGGAAGTCAGACAATGAAGGGGCCCGAGGGGGCGATCGTACTGGCTGATTCGACTAAAACCCCCGACGAAACAAATTTTGCGGAGTTAGTAACAGCAGATAAGACGGCCGAGATCGTAAACGAGTATCGCAAAAATAATGCGTCGACGGCGCGAGATGTTGTTGATTCCAGACGTGTCTCGTCATCCGGTGACGAATCGAATAGCGACTGCGATGTTGAGCCATACGCAAACAAGGGCATATCATCCCCTCCGAAACCAAGGGATAAGCGCGTGAAGCGCTTAGATGATCTCGTTCCCAAAGGCGGCCAGAAAGGTACGTGTTTATGGTCGCAGATGCGGAATATTCTACTTGTATGCATGAAACGATGCTTGTAGTCGTGTCTGACCTGTTGGAGGTTATCGTCTCTCCAATTGTGTTTCCACATCAGCGTCAGCGGACAAGCGTGACAACCGGGGGGGGGCGTAAGCACCGTCCAAGAAAAAGAGGCACTCGTTCACATCGTGAGGAAACGCCTGCGTCTGAAGGCAACGAGGAGGGCAAAGACGGGGGACTTGACAGCTTAGGTACGCTGTGGGTGTGATATCGACGGTTTATATTTTGCACGTTACTCATTACAATGACGCCGCATGTCATGCTACAACTTCCAGCCAATAAGATAATGTGTGCACAGTATTTCTTATGTACCTGTAATGTCCACCTTCGCAGATGGGACGGCAGGCCAACGCGCTCGTGGTAGCGGAAAGCGCAACGGCGGCAGGGCTGCCGCGGCCAAGGGCGGTCCCTCGGGCAGGCAGTCGCAGGATGCGGATGGGGGCGACGAGGGGGATCATGCCGAGCCGGTCACTACCCGTGGTGGCGGAAAGCGCAACGGCGGCAGGGCTGCCGCGGCTAAGGCCGATCCCTCGGGCAGGCCGGCGCAGGATGCGGATGGAGGCAACGAGGGGGATCATGCCGAGCCGGAAGCTCGTGGTGGCGGAAAGCGCAACGGCGGCAGGGCTGCCGCGGCCAAGGGCGGTCCCTCGGGCTTGCAGGATGCGGATAGGGGCGACGAGGGGGATCATGCCGAGCCGGTCACTACCTGTGGTGGCGGAAAGCGCAACGGCGGCAGGGCTGCCGCGGCTAAGGCCGATCCCTCGGGCAGGCCGGCGCAGGATGCGGATGGAGGCGACGAGGGGGATCATGCCGAGCCGGAAGCTCGTGGTGGCGGAAAGCGCACCGGCGGCAGGGCTGCCGCGACCAAGGGCGGTCCCTCGTGTCGGATTATTATAACTGATGCATGTTTGTAGGCTATAGTGGGGTAGCACATATGGGGTACAGCTTTCTAGGGTTGCATTTGTACCCAACTCTGACTTAGTCATTTCATTCCTGTTTTCCTTGCTTCACATGGTATAGAGCGGGTCCTGCCTTAGGACCGTTTTTTTAGGGCCCACCGAAGCGCGCCCCGAGGCGCGCCTTTTTTTTTTTTAGCGACCCCTCGGGTCGCCTTTTCCCTCGCGGCCCCGCTGTCCCTCAGACGCGGCCCCGCCACCTCTCCTGATCGCGGCCCCGCCGCCTGCTTGACGCGGCCCCGCCGCCTCCCCTGACGCGGCCCCGCCGCCTCCCCTGACGCGGCCCCGCCGCCTCCCCTGACGCGGCCCCGCCGCCTCCCCTGACGCGGCCCCGCCTCTACTGCTGCGGCCCCGCCGCCGCCTCTAACGGCCCCGCCGCTGCACCCTACGGCCCGCCGCTGCACCCTACGGCCCGCCGCCTCTGACGGCCCCGCCGCTGCACTCCTGCCGGCCCGCCGCCTCACCTGACGGCCCCGCCGCTGCTCCTGCCGGCCCGCCGCTGCTCCTGCCGGCCCGCCGCTGCACCTGCCGGCCCGCCGCTGCACCCAGCGGCCCGCCGCCTCTGACGGCCCCGCCGCTGCACCCTACGGCCCGCCGCTGCTCCTGCCGGCCCGCCGCCTCACCTTACGGCCCCGCCGCTGCTCCTGCCGGCCCGCCGCTGCTCCTGCCGGCCCGCCGCTGCACCTGCCGGCCCGCCGCTGCACCCAGCGGCCCGCCGCTTCACCTGACGGCCCAGTCGCTGCACCTGCCGGCCCGCCGCTGCACCCTACGGCCCGCCGCTGCACCCTACGGCCAGCCGCATGCACCTGCCGGCCCGCCGCTGCACCTGCCGGCCCGCCGCTGCACCTGCCGGCCCGCCGCTGCACCTGCCGGCCCGCCACTGCACCGGTCGACCCGCCGCTGCACCTGACGGCCCCGCCCCTGCATCTCCCGGCCGAGCCGCCCCAGCAGCCGAACCGCCCGGGAGCCGAGCCGCCCAACGCCGAGCCGCCCGGGACCCGAGCCGCCCTGCCGCCGAGCCGCCCGGGAGCCGAGCCGCCCTGCACCCGAGCCGCCCAGCCGCCGAGCCGTCCGGGAGCCGAGCCGCCCTGCGCCCGAGCCGCCCAGCCGCCGAGCCGCCCGGGAGTCGAGCCGCTGTGCACCCGAGCCGCCTGGTCGCTGAGCCGCCTTTCTGCATAGCTGCACGACCTGCCCTGCCTGGTGAGCACAGTCCCACTGACACTGCGAGCTCTTTCCCTACTGCTTGCACTGCGTCGCTGTCGTCGCCATGGCTACCCCTAGTGTCCTAGCTTTTGACGCTGAGGGTCGCGCCATTGATTTTGAGGTCTGGTTAGACGACCTGCAGCTGTTCTTACAGTGCGACAGGGCTGACGACCTTTCTCTCTTTGACCTCACCTCTGGCGCCTCTCCTGCTCCTGCTGCTGATGCTGATCCCACTGTCCGCTCTAAGTGGGCCACCCGCGATGCTGCTGCACGTCTTGCTGTGCGTCGCCACCTCCCTACCTCTGAGCGTGCGCACTTTAGTCAGTACAAGAGTGCTCAGACCTTGTACGACGCTGTAGTTGCGCGCTACTCCTCCCCTGCCACTGTTGCACTGAGCCGTCTCATGCTTCCCTACCTCTTTCCTGACCTCTCTGCCTTTCCCACTGTCGCTGACCTCATTACGCACCTCCGCACTAGTGACACTCGCTACCGCGCCGCCCTTCCTGCTGAGTTCTGCGCTAAGAACCCCCCCCCCATGTACATCGCTCTCTACTACGTAGTGGCGCGCCTCCCTGACTCCCTTCGCGTCGTCAGGGACCACTTTCTCGCAGTCTGTCCCACCACCCTCACCGTCGACCTCCTCGAGAAGGCCCTCCTTGCAGCGGAGAAGAGCATAGTCGCTGTAGGTGCTTCTCGTGGTGACCCTCGCACCCCCATCTTTGAGGGGTGCTCTCCTTCCCCCTTGCTGCCCTCTGTTGCCTCTGCTGCTGCTGCCGACCTGCTTGGTCTTGAGTCGGTCGGCGCGGCGTCTGCCCCTAGTGGGAGACGTCGCTCCAGCAAGGGCAAGGGGGGCAAGGGCGCGGGTGGAGCTGGAGGGGGCGGTGGCGGTGGCGGCGGTGGCGGCGGAGGGAGTGGGGGTGGCGGCGGGACTAGTGGCGGGGGTGGTGGTGGTGGTGGCAGCAGCGGCGGAGACGGTGGTGGTGGTGCCAGCGGTGGTGGTGGAGGCAGCGGCGGAGGTGGAGGCGGCGGAGGTGGAGGCGGTGGAGGCGGCAGCGGAGGAGGCGGTGGTGGTGGAGGAGGTGGAGCTGGTCGAGGTGGTACCCAGCAGCGTAGCGGCGGTGGTGGTGGCCAGCGCTCGCAGCGGCAGCAGCAGCAGCGCTCGCGGGACATCCCTCCGCCTCAGCAGCTTCGTGAGTGGTACGCTGGGCGTCAGAGGGGTGGGGGTACTGGTCCCTGCACCTACGTTCTTCGTTCCGGCGACCGCGCGGGTGAGCTGTGTGGGGGTGCCCATGCCACCCAGCGCTGCTTTGGCCGCCTGACGGACGCTTGGCGTCAGCAGTTCCCTGGGGCCAGTGAGATCCCTCGCTGGGATGAGCTTCTCCGGGCTGGTGTAGCGATCTTTGATCTTGATTTTGATGCTATCCTTGCTGCTATGTATGTTGTGGATTATAGTGAGGAGAATGAGGGTTACCGTTGTTTCCAGCCCGACCCGGGCATTGGTACTGCTGCGCTAGGTGCTTGTGAGGCTGCTGCTCTAGGTGCCAGTGCGTCTGTGCTCTCAGGTACTGGTGAGACTGCGCTCTCAGGTACTGCGTCGTCCTCGTCCTCCCTCACTTTCACACTTGACTCCGGAGCTTCTCGCTCCTTCTTTCGAGACCGCACTACCCTTACGCCGCTCGGCCGGCCGGTTGCGGTCTCCCTTGCTGACCCCTCTGGGGGTCCTGTCCTGTCTCACTTCTCCACTGTCCTCCCGTGTCCGGCTGCCCCTTCGGGCACCCTGTCGGGTCTGTACCTTCCCTCGTTCTCTACGAACTTGGTGAGTGGAGCGGACCTGCAGGATGTGGGGGTTCACCAGTTCACTCCTGCTAGTCAGCGGGTGACCCACTGCACGGAGGCACGCACAGGCCGACACCTGGCCACGTTCTCGCGTCGGCCGGGGTCGAGTCTCTACACCCTGACCGTTGAGTCTCCTCCTGTCCCTGCGTCTGGTCAGGTGGCTGCGTCGGGTCAGGTGCTTGCTGCTGCGTCCCGGTCAGGTCCTGAGTCTGCCCCCTGTTCTTGTCGCCTCCTGTCTCACCAGACTCTCCTGTGGCACCACCGTCTTGGCCACCCCTCCTTGCCCCGTCTTCAGAGCATGGCTTCCTGTGTCCTTGTCTCTGGTCTTCCCCAGTCTCTCCCTCCTCTCCCCTCCGGGCCAGGACCTTCCTGTGTCCCCTGTGTCGAGGGTCGCCTCCGAGCTACTCCCCACTCCTCCCACTTCCCCCCGACAGAGGCTCCCCTGCAGACGCTTCACATGGATGTGTGGGGCCCAGCCCCCGTCCGTGGGCAGGGTTACGAGCGCTACTTCCTGTTGGTGGTTGACGACTACTCGCGTTACACCACAGTCCTCCCCTTGCGCAGCAAGGGTGCGGTCACTGAGGTGCTGATCGACTGGATCCGCGAGGCTCGTCTCCAGCTCAGGAAGAGCTTCGGCTCGGACTTTCCTGTTCTGCGTCTGCACTCTGACAGAGGCGGAGAGTTCTCTTCTCGCCTTCTGCGGGACTACTGTCGTGCACGGGGGATCCGCCAGACCTTCACGCTTCCGGACTCACCACAGCAAAATGGGATTGCTGAGCGCCGCATTGGCATGGTCATGGATGTCGCTCGTACGTCCATGATGCATGCGGCTGCCCCCCATTTTCTGTGGCCGTTTGCGGTGAGGTACGCGGCGCATCAGCTCAACCTTCACCCCCGGGTCTCTCGGCCTGCGATGTCCCCAGCCTTGCTGTGGACGGGGAAGGTTGGCGATGCGTCTGTGTTCCGTGTCTGGGGATCTCGGGCGTTTGTCCGCGACTTGTCTGCGGACAAGCTGTCCCCTCGTGCTGCTCCCTGTGTCTTCCTTGGCTTCCCCACTGACGCCCCAGGGTGGCAGTTTTACCACCCCTCCTCTCGTCGTGTTCTGTCCTCCCAGGATGTCACGTTCGACGAGTCAGTCCCCTTCTACCGTCTCTTCCCCTACCGCACTCCTTCCCTCCCCCCTCCCCCGGACTTCCTTGTGCCGGTTCCCCCCCCCGGTAGACCCCCTCCCCCCTCAGGTTCCTGCCCCCTCAGGTGTGTCCCAGGTAGACGCCGTTGACCCGGTCGAGGTTACTGGTGACTCTGGTGCTGCTGCGGGTGCTGAGCCTGGGGGTGCTGACTCTGGGGGTGCTGTGCGCGGGGGTGCTGAGCCTGGGGGTGCTACTGCTGGGGGTGCTGGGCCTGGGGGTGCTACTGCGGAGGGTGCGGAGCCTGGGGGTGCTGAGCCGGGGGGTGCTGTGCCTGGAGGTGCTGGGTCTGGGGGTGCTAGGTCGGGAGCTGCTGAGCCTGGGGGTACTGAGCTGGGAGCTGCTGAGCCTGGGGGTGCTGCGTCTGGAGCTGCTGAGCCTGGGGTTTCTCCTGCTGCTGCGTCTCGCCGGGAGCCCCTCTCTCCACAGGAGCTGCGCGAGTGGTTCGCTCGCCGCTGGAGGCGTGCTGCTGGGTCTGGAGGTGCTGCTGGAGCTGGAGCTGGAGCTTCTTCGACCGTCGAGGGTGCGGGTGCTGCCGGTCCCGGAGCTGCTGGACCTGCGGGTCCTCCTGGAGCTGGAGCTGCTGAGGGCGTTGGTGCTGAGCCTACTGCTGTTGGTCCTGCCGCTGGAGGTGTGGGTGGCGCTGGTGCTGTCGCTGAGGGTGGTGGTGCTGTCCCTGCTGAGTCTGGAGCTGCCGCGCGGCCTCGACCGTACTTTGTTCCGCTCCTGCAGTAGGTTCTTAGTCTTTCTCCTCCAGTAGAGGGTCCACCGCCTGTCCAGTCGCAGTCCCTGCTGGAGCCTTCCTCTCCACTGCCTGCTCCCTCTCCTTACACTGGTCCTACTGGCGGTCTTGCTGAGCGTCGTGAGCCTGCGTCTCGTCCCGCGTCGCCTGTTCGTGCTGCTCGCGCTAGTGGTCGCAGTTCGCGTCAGCGTCCTCCTCCTGTCCCTGGCACGCACCGGATGTCTTTGCGTCCGTCCACTGCTCCTCTGCGTGCCCCTTTGCCTTCTCCTCCTGAGTCCTCTCTTCCTGCGCTTGCCGACCCTGAGTCGGACTCTCTTCGTGCTGCCAGTCCTACTGTCACGCGTCTGCTTGCTACTGTCGTCACTGACCCCTCTTTTGAGTCCACTGCTGCGTCTGCTCTAGTCGCTGAGCTCGTCGACTTTGCTGCTCGCTGTCGTCTCGACTACGCTGCTAGTCTTGTTGCTGAGTCTGTGTCTGTCTGTCCTCCGTCCGTCGGGGGTGAGTGTGCTCTTGGCACGGACGTCCTAGAGGACAGGCAGGAGGAGTTACAGTGTCTAGCGGCTGCTTCACCTCATCTCGCGTCTGTACTGCTTGCCCCTGAGGGAGACCCGGATGCACTAGACATCCCGACTCCGCGTTCTTACGCGGAGGCCGTAGAGGGTCCCTACTCCTCTCAGTGGCAGGCAGCTATGGATGCAGAGATGGCTTCCTGGAAGTCCACAGGCACCTACGTTGACGCGGTTCCCCCTCCTGGGGCGAACATCGTCAGTGGCATGTGGATCTTCAGGGTGAAGCGGCCGCCGGGCACTCCACCTGTCTTCAAGGCACGGTACGTTGCTCGTGGCTTCAGTCAGCGGCAGGGAGTTGACTACTTTCAGACCTTCTCTCCCACCCCGAAGATGACTACTCTTCGGGTGCTGCTGCACATAGCCGCTCAGCGCGACTACGAGCTTCACTCTCTCGACTTCAGCACTGCGTTCTTGCAGGGTAGCCTGCACGAGGAGATCTGGCTTCGCCGTCCACCTGGCTTCACTGGGACTTTCCCTCCTGGCACCCAGTGGAGCCTCCGACGGCCAGTCTACGGTCTCCGCCAGGCACCGCGTGAGTGGCACGACACACTGAGGACTACGCTTGCGGCTCTTGGGTTTGCTCCTTCTACTGCTGACCCGTCGCTGTTTCTTCGCACCGACACTTCCCTGCCGCCGTTCTACATCCTCGTGTACGTCGACGACTTGGTCTTTGCCACAGCAGACACTGGTGGACTCGCCTACGTGAAGTCCGAGCTGCTGAAGAGACACACGTGCACAGACCTGGGTGAACTGCGCAGCTACCTTGGCTTGCAGATCACTCGGGACAGAGCACGCCGCACCATTACCTTGACTCAGTCACACATGGTGCAGCAGGTCCTTCAGCGCTTCGGCTTCACGTACTCCTCGCCTCAGGCCACTCCTCTGCCTACTCGCCACTCACTCTCAGCTCTGCCTTCGGATGAGTCCGTAGAGTCGAGTGGTCCGTATGCAGAGCTTGTTGGCTGCCTCATGTACCTGATGACCTGCACACGACCTGACCTTGCATACCCTCTGAGCATTCTTGCACGCTATGTTGCTCCTGGGAGACACAGACCGGAGCACATGGCTGCAGCGAAGAGGGTATTGCGCTACCTGTGCAGCACGTCGGGCATGGGGCTAGTGCTTGGAGGGCGGAGTCCAGTGGTCCTTACCGGCCACGCGGACGCTTCTTGGGCTGACGACCAGGCTACGCAGCGGTCGTCACAGGGTTACACCTTCAGCCTTGGTTCCGGCTCTGTCTCGTGGCGGTCTACTCGCTCGTCTTCGGTTCTCGGCTCCAGTTGTGAGGCTGAGATCTACGCCGGGGCCATGGCTGCACAGGAGCTTTGCTGGCTCACCTACCTGCTGACTGACCTTGGAGAGCCGCCTCGTTCTCCTCCAGTGCTGTACGTAGACAACAAGGCCATGCTGGCCTTGTGTCGAGAGCAGCGCTTGGAGCACAGAACGAAGCACATTGCTCTCCGCTACTTCCTTGCTCGTGAGCTGCAGCAGCGTGGTCAGTTGCGACTTGCGTACGTGGCCTCTGAGGCCAACACTGCTGATGTGTTCACCAAGGCACTCGCGCCTTGTGACCATCAGCGCTTTTGCACCCAGCTGGGTCTTGTGCCTGTCTTGCCTCACTTGCTCTCCTCTTGACTTCACTTGTACTGTGACATATATATATACCGGCTCTTGCTTGTCTAGTTTTATATATATGTCTGTACTCCTGCATGTGAACTGGCCTCTGGCCCTGCTCTTGTGCTCGGACTGTGTGGTGACGTTGTGATCCACCCTGAGCTTGCTTTGCTTTGCTTTGCTTGACTGGTCTTGTGACCCCTTGTTCTCCCCCACTTTGCCTATGGGGGTGTGTCGGATTATTATAACTGATGCATGTTTGTAGGCTATAGTGGGGTAGCACATATGGGGTACAGCTTTCTAGGGTTGCATTTGTACCCAACTCTGACTTAGTCATTTCATTCCTGTTTTCCTTGCTTCACACCTCGGGCTCGCAGGATGCGGATGGTGGCGACGAGAAGGATCATCCCGAGCCGGAAGCTCGTGGTGGCGGCATGCGCAACGGCGGCAGGGCTGCCGCGGCTAAGGGCGGTCCCTCGGGCAGGCAGTCGCAGGATGCGGATGGTGGCGACGAGAAGGATCATGCCGAGCCGGAAGCTCGTGGTGGCGGCATGCGCAACGGCGGCAGGGCTGCCGCGGCTAAGGCCGATCCCTCGGGCAGGCTGTCACAGGATGCGGATGGAGGCGACGAGGGGGATCATGCCGAGCCGGAAGCTCGTGGTGGCGGCATGCGCAACGGCGGTAGGGCTGCCGCGGCCAAGGGCGGTCCCTCGGGCTCGCAGGATGCGGATGGTGGCGACGAGAAGGATCATGCCGAGCCGGAAGCTCGTGGTGGCGGCATGTGCAACGGCGGCAGGGCTGCCGCGGCTAAGGGCGGTCCCTCGGGCAGGCAGTCGCAGGATGCGGATGGTGGCGACGAGAAGGATCATGCCGTGCCTGCATGTCGTGGCGTTAACGATCATGATGAGGACGAGCCAGTAGCACTGACTGATGGGAAAGGTGGACGTGAAGCTGTGATTCCGTACCAACGGCGCAAGGCTGTGGATCCGGGCAGTTGCGACCATAAGGCGAGACAAGCTCGGCACGGCCCCAATGTGCACGTTTCGAGCTCGTCTGGTTCCGAGGAAGATTCGAGCGACAGTGAGTCGGGCAGCTCATCCGGGAGTGAGGAGGTATACGAGGACGAGGATGAGGAGGAGGAGGACGAGGATGATGAGGAGTTGGAGCCGGAGAGCGAGGGTGGGGAGGAGGCCCGGCCTTTGAAGAGGAGGAGTGTGGGGAAGCTCAAGAAGGGCAACGCTAAGCAAAAATCGGAGAGGGGACGGGTGAAGAGCTGTAAACAGAGTGTGCGTCGTGCCAAACCACATGGCAAGCGCCAGAGACCTCGATTCGAAGCTAAAATTGTGGGTGTGCGTAGCAAGGCGAAGCGGGAGTTCAATTTTTACGAGTCCATGGGGATACGATGTACCTCAAGCTCTCATGATCGGCAAGCCGCGGACCCGTACGCTGCGTTACGCGATCCGATGGGTTCGGCTAGGAAGGGAGATCTGATGGCTTGGGGGTCAGCGCGGTTTGGCAGGGAAGCGACGGACCCGCCCCCCAACCATATGGGGGGTCGCGCGGTTCATGTGAAAAACGAGGGGGCAACGAAGCGGCACGAACCCTCGGCAGCTGCAGCAGCGAATGACGGTGTGGGAGGAGGTGTGTGGGCGAATGCCTTGGGTGAATGTGGCGGCGGTGTGGAAGGCTCCATGTGGGATGTACGGGAGAGCAGGGGAGAAGGGGGGGACGAGAAAATGGATCCGGCGACTAAGGAGGGGAGGGGAGAGAGCATGGGCACATCTGGCGCATCCAGTCGGCCGGATGTGGCTGGCGGCAGGACTGTGGAGCAGCTCATGCGAGAGCTTGCCCAGCGGGATCGCGAAATCGCTGCACTCAAGGCAAGGCCAGGATCAGAAGGACCTGTCAAGCCCTGCACCCCTCCATCCAGGCCTCCTCCTCTAGCGTCTCTGTCGAGCGGCCCATCTGTAGGGGGCCTCGATCCAGGCGTGGCGCCAGAAAGCCCAGCGATGGTAGACGTACCGGTCCGTCGAACGCGTGGGATGCCCACACCCAAGCTGCTGAAGGTGAGATTGTTTTAGTGTTAAACAATGTGTGGCATGGGGCTCAGTGATAGCTGCAGCTCTCTCTCTCAACCCCTCTTGCTGCTGGTAAGCGTGTTTGTGGCATTATGCGCAGTGATAGCGGCATGTCTGCAGTGGGATAGGCATTCCCAGTACGCCTCGCTTCAGGGACGTGGCGCTGGGCGTACGATGCTCTCACATTCTGCCCCCGACCCCTAGCTCACCATAGCAGTTATCCATCCTCCATTGGCCCCTCTCTCCCATCCCTTCCCACCCTAAACCAGAGCCCCTGTTCATGGTGCTGGTGCTGGTGCTGGTGTGGGTGGCACGCGGCGCAAGGATAGCTCATTGTAGCAGTTATCCTTCCTATCCCTCCCCCCTCTCTCCCATCCCTTGCCTAGCTCTTCCAGAGCCCCTGTTCCTGGTGCTGGTGGTGGTGTGGGTGTCATGCGGCGGAGGGATAGCTAAGAATAGCAGTTATCCTTCATCTCACTTCCCTCTCTCTCCCATCCCTCCCCTCCCTCTGCGAGATCCCCTGTTGATGGTGCTGGGGGTGGTGTGGGTGTCATGCAGCGGAGGGATAGCTAAGCATAGCAGTTTTCCTTCATCTCACTTCCCTCTCTCTCCCATCCCTCCCCTCCCTCTGCGAGAGCCCCTGTTCCTGGTGCTGGTGGTGGTGTGGGTGTCATGCGGCGCAAGGAATAGAGGAAGCCGTATCCGTCAACCCCATGCGGCCTCCTTTCTGTCCGCCGCTCCTCCCTCCCCTCTCTATCCCGTCCCTCTCCCTCCTCGTCCAGAGCCACTGTAAAAGGTGCTGCTGGTCACGCGTGTGGCATGCGGCGTAGCGTGCAGGGGGGTGGCTGCAGTGGAAGTTGAGACTCCTCGTACGAGGAGAACATGAACCCTCGCGCTGGGCGTACGGTGCCCTCTCACTCTGCCTACTCTCCCGTCTTTCGCTCTGACTATTTAATCCCCTCTCTCTCCCCTCTCACTCTACCATCGCTCCCCTACCTCAACCAGAGCTCCTGTTCATGGTGCTGGTGGTGGGGTGGGTGTCGTATGGCGGAGTGATAGCTCACCATAGCAGCTATCCTTCCTCTCCCTGCACCCTCTCTCCCATCCCTCCCCTCCCTCTGCGAGAGCCCATGTTCATGGTGCTGGGGGTGGTGTGGGTGTCATGCGGCGGAGGGATAGCTAAGCATAGCAGTCATCCTTCATCTCACACCCCTCTCTCTCCCATCCCTCCCCTCCCTCTGCGAGAGCCCCTGTTCCTGGTGCTGGTGGTGGTGTGGGTGTCATGCGGCGCAAGGAAAAGAGGAAGCCGTATCCGTCAACCCCATGCGGCCCCCTTTCTGTCTGCCGCTCCTCCCTCCCCTCTCTATCCCGTCCCTCTCCCTCCTCGTCCAGAGCCACTGTAAAAGGTGCTGCTGGTCACGCGTGTGGCATGCGGCGTAGCGTGCAGGGGGGTGGCTGCAGTGGAAGTTGAGACTCCTCGTACGAGGAGAACATGAACCCTCGCGCTGGGCGTACGGTGCCCTCTCACTCTGCCTACTCTCCCGTCTTTCGCTCTGACTATTTTATCCCCTCTCTCTGCCCTCCCACTCTACCATCGCTCCCCTACCTCAACCAGAGCTCCTGTTCATGGTGCTGGTGGTGGGGTGGGTGTCATGCGGCGGAGTGATAGCTCACCATAGCAGCTATCCTTCCTCTCCCTGCACCCTCTCTCCCATCCCTCCCCCACCTCTTCCAGAGCCCATGTTCATGGTGCTGTTGTTGGTATGGGAGCCATGCGGCGCAGTGATGGCAACAGCCCTCTCTCTCAACCTCTGAATTCCGCCCTTCATTCGGAGGCATCACTCAATTTTACGTTTCCAATCCACCCGTCCGTCATAGGTTCATTTCGCCGTGGGGCGGGACCGGATGTGCCTAGAATGGCCAGACGATGCCATAGACTTCTACCCAACGCTCGAACAGCGCCTTTAGGTTTTGTATCAGGTTATCAGCGAGACGCACATAATTAAGCTGATGCAGCTGCGAGAGGCTATGGAAGACAAAAACATTGTCGACGGCTTCAAACGCGCTTGGACGTCATGGAAGAACGATCGTGGCTTCCACCTCAAGCGCAGAGTGCTTGTAACTTTCGGCAAGAAGGTGCAAGGCCTGCGTGCAGCCGATCTCTGGATGGGCACCAAGAAGAAGAAGAAGATGTGGAGAAAATACCAACCGAGTGAGTACGCGCGTTTCTGTTTTACTTCACCATTCATTTCATCTGCTCGTGCACCCCTCATGACGATGATGAACAACTTACCCTAATGCATCCCCACTGTGGCACGCAACTACATACCTGCTCTCCTTGCCCAGGCTTGTAGCGCATGTGCAGTCACATCCGCATAACAGCTTAACGTTGGTTCTTCTCCCACTCTCCCCTTCTCCCGCCCCCCCTTTAATCTACAGCTCTCCCCTTCCCTCCCGCCATCCCGTTCTCTCCCTCCCTCCATTTCTCTTCAGCCCTCCCCTTCTCTCCCGCCCTCCATGTCTCTCCTGCCCTCCCCCTCTCCCCTGCCCTCCCCTTCTCTCCCGCCCTTCCCTGCTCTACTGCCCTCCAGCCAACCCTCCATTCATTCTATACCGCCCTCCACTTCGTCCATACCCTTTGGACAACCCCTAACCATGTCGTGCATGATCTTCGTCCCCGCCTTGTCCTGCGTGCGTGCAGGAGGGAATCAGCGGGTCAGCTTGTGGGGAAACAGCAGAGACGGGCTCCCGTTTGCCAACGGCCGGTTTGTAGATGCGGTCCGGGAAGCATTTCGGAATCTCTGTGTCGGGCGCCGGGTGTGCGTCAAAGCCTACCAGATTGCCTGGTCAATCATGGTGGTAAGGCATTATTGCTCTCCCGTCAGTTTGCTCTAGCTTTGCTTGCAATTCTTGCCCGCCAGACTGGAATGTGGGGCTATTTGCGCAGCCCATGAACTCTACACGCGAGTGTCCACATATGTCTCTATTTCCCCTCTTTCCCATACTTTGCTACGCTTTTTCAGATTGACCAGGGCTTGGCAAAGGTTAAGAAGACCGACTGGAACGTCTCGAACTCCCACCGGAAGAACACCGAGTGGATGACGGGTTTGCACCGAAATGTGCGGTGGATTATCAAGGACCACTTCACATGCCACACCCCCGTGTACAACACAGTCGTGCAGGGCTTCAAGTGGGGCGACCGTGGCCTGTATGTTCACGAGTCAGGATTCGAGGCGTTCAAGGGGACGGCCGCGCCTGACGAGGAGAAGAAGGACTTGAAGGAGGAAGAGCAGGAGGTGTACGACGCGGAGGACTTGAAGACGGATGACGAGGAGGATGACGAGGATCAGGAGGAGGAGGAGGAGGAGGAGGAGGAGGAGGAGGAGGAGGAGGAGGAGGAGGAGGAGGAGGAGGAGGAGGAGGAGGAGGAGGAGGAGGAGGAGGAGGATGAGGAGGAGGAGGAACAGTGGGGGCAGGAGCGGAGGAAGAGCAAAAGGCACAAGAGATGCAAAAGCAGGGGAGGCAAGAGGGATGAGCAAGAGGATGAGGAGGAGGAAGAGGAAGAGGATGTGAAACGGGGGGGGCGGGAGATTAGGAAGGGCAGAAGGCAGAAAAGAGGGAAACTCAGGGGAGGCAGGGGGGAAGAGGAAGAGGGTGGGGAGGAGGAGGAGGGGGAGCAGGAGGATGAAAATCATAGGGGGCAGGAGAGGAGGAAGGGCAGAAAGCACAAAAGAGGCAGAGGCAAGGGAAGCAGGAGGGAAGAGGAAGAGGAGGAAGAAGTGGAAGAGGAGGAAGAGGATGAGGATGAGGAAGAGGAGGAGGATGTGGAACGGGGGGGGCGGGAGCTTAGGAAGGGCAGAAGGCAGAAGAGAGGGAAAATCAGAGGAAGCAGGGGGGAAGAGGAAGAGGATGAGGAGGAGGAGGAGGGGGAGCAGGAGGATGAAAATCATAGGGGGCAGGAGAGGAGGAAGGGCAGAAAGCACAAAAGAGGCAGAGGCAAGGGAAGCAGGAGGGAAGAGGAAGAGGAGGAAGAAGTGGAAGAGGAGGAAGAGGATGAGGATGAGGATGAGAAGGGGGGGGGCCAGGAGCGAAGGAGGGGCAAAAGACACAAGAGTGGCAAACGCCGGGGAGGCAAGAGGGTCAAGCGATGGGGTGACTAAACAAGGGGGGCAGCAGATGAGGCATGAGTGGAGTTTACAAGGGGGGGCAGCAGGATAGGCATCACACACTTGCGAGGAGACATCAAAACGGAGGTAGAGGCATTGGTGGAGACAGCAAGGGGGGCAGCACGCCAGGCAAGAAAGTAGAGTCAGCATGGGGGGTAGCACGGGCGGCAAAAGCGTGGAGTCAGCAAGGGGGGCAGCAGTAGAGACAATGTGAGGAGTGTCCAAGGGTGGGCAACCAGCAAGGCAACCAGATAGTGCAAGAGGGTGCAGCAGAAAAGGCATGAGTTGAGAGAGTTGGGGGGGCAGCAGAAAAGGCACGAGCAGATAGAGGGGAGTGCACAAGGGGGGCAGCAGGTTAGGCATGACTGGAGCAAGCAGCAGTAAAGGCATGACTGGGGAGCGCCAGGGGCGGAGCAGCAGACGCATGAGAGGGCAGAGCATGCAATGAAGCAGTGGACGCAGGGGCACGCTCGACCTAGAGCACCAGAGATGGGGTTCGGTGGAAGACATAGTGTACTGGAGCATGCTAAGCAGGTCGTAGGATGATGCAGCTCAACCTAACTGACTAGGCACAGAGGGTTTAGGATGCTGTTTTATGTGCGTTTTTAGGGTGGAATTATCAGCTTTTACCAAAGCTTCTGTACTGTTCATTTTGAATGCAAGATTGAGGCAACTTAACATAGTTTTAAATTACATACCGTATCCCCCCGGATATACCCCCATGGGGGGCAATAATAAAACAGGTTTTTTCATGGGGGTGGGCTTATAATCGAGTAAATTTATAAGCGCCGGCGTTTATAAAATGACATACATATTTTTTTATATCTTTTAACACCAAACTGTAGGTCTCGTGCTTGCCTTTTCAATCGAGTCGAAGTTACATGGGATCGTCTGTGAAATTCTCGCGCGCGCTGGGCGATACACCCAATCTGACTCACATCCAGCTCCTGACAGGTCCTGCTGACTGGACCCGCATCCAGTGCAGGGTCCGAATGTGAAGGGAACCGATTCTGCAACATATCCGCCTGCTAAAGTAAAAATCGTTACAGCTTTTTGAACACATTTCAAATTTTAAAGTTTACGTGCGCTTATAATAAAACAAGTTTTTTCAAGGGGTGCGCTTATAATCGAGGAGGGGATATAAGCGCCATATGCCAATTAGAAGCGCCAGGCGCTTATCCTAGGGTGGCGCTTATATCCGGGGGGAGACGGTATAAGGTCGTGCAAGTCTCCTACATAAGCTTATTTTAATGAGCCCGAAATTCCATAAAGAGTACATTGCAATGAGATCCGATCTTCGAAATTGCTCTGCGGAAACTTGTACCAAACTTCTTCCGAAGGTGTTCACCTGGCAGGTTTGAACAGAAAAGCATTGGAGAAGCATTTGAAAAGCGTTCGAGAAAGCATTTGGAAAGCAACCTATACTTTCTCAAAAAAGCGTTCGAAAAACGTCGTTCAAGAATCATTCGACAAAACTCCAAAGCAACTTTTTTCATCGGTTTTCCGGATGCAGGATTTTTGTGATGACTGCTGTTGCTTGCTACTTCTGTTCCCTACCAGCCCCATGTCCATCCTTACAGTCACTTGTTTTCTCATGCCGCTCATGCCACGGTGCCACCACTGCTGCAGCAGGAGCAGTACAGTAGCCGTGACGTTCTCAGGTGGGGAAGGTGGGTGAAAGTCATGCAGCAGCCTCTGCAGAAGCAGCAGCAGGAGGATTAGGAGCACCCACCTCCTTGATTCGCATCTGCCCTGCCTGCCCCCGTTACTGCCCCACCTGCTGCAGCATGCACCTTCGTCGGGCACCGATTGCACCTCTCCCTGCTGCACTCCAGCTCTGCAACCAGCCGAAGCCGCTGCAGAGAGGTATTCTTATGGACCCATGGGACGGGCGTGGTGATTGTCGGGAGGGCGATTGTGGGGACCGGGTGTCGCTGCTGCTGATGCTGCTCCCTTGAGGTGCCCTTGCAACCCTTCCAAGCTCTCCCATCCCTCGTTCATCCTTTGTGGTTCCTCCCCCCCACACACCTGCCATGGCGCAGCAGAACAGGGCACATTGACGAACACCTGCACGTCGGCATGGAGGGGAGGTGTAACAGGACAAAGGTTGGAGAGGCAAGCCGTCACATACTCAATTGCACACGCACAGGGTGCAAGCGGTCACATGGTCAATCAGTGCAAAACACCCGATAATGATCGCATCAACATCGGCCGACAAGGAGACTCGTTCCGATTCGATTACACTCGCTCAACAAGACTCACCCTCGTTGTCGCCGAACAACTAAAGGGCGATATCAGATGTATCAGCCTAGATAGCACGTCTTCCTTCGTCTGCCTTTTCAGAAAGCTACTGGGAAGCTCCGACTTCCCTCTTTCTCTTGCGTTCCTATCGTCTCTCTCGCACCCCCTCCCAGATCCCCCCACCCCCCCCCCCCAGTCCCCCCAGGCAGGCGAAGCTGCACGTCCTGCTGGGTGCAGCATGGTCAGCCTCTCCCTAACCGCCCTGCGCCCATCTGCATTCACCATCCAGCAGCACGGGATCGCTCACCTGCACCCTCGTGAACGGCCAGAAACGGCAAGCCAGCAGCAGCGCATCTGCCTCTGCCACCTAACTCCCCACACCCTCCTACTTACCATCTACTTCCACCGAGCGGAAAACCAGAACCCTTCCGCCTTCTCCCAGCTCCCTCCTCTCCTCCACTTCCCACTCCCCCCCTCCTCGTCCCCCTCCGTTCATATCCAACTCGACCTCCCTAATCCCTCTCGTCCCTCTCCTCTCGTCCTCTCCCCCACCCCACCCCCCCTTCCCCGCCTCTCCTCTCACCCACTCCTCTCCCCCTCTCCTTTCGCCACCTCCTCGTCCCCCCTCCTCCTCTCTCCCCTCCTTTCCCCCTCACCTCCCTCTCCCACGCCGCTCTCCCACATCCTCCCGTGCTCGACACCCCCTTCTCACGAAAACAACACAACACTCCACACGTCTGCATACCTCAGCACTCCATTGCCACTTGCCTCACCACGCCAAACGAAAGGTCCTGAAGGGATGGAATAAAGGCACCAACCAAGCAAGGATTGGCAGGAGAGGCACAGAATGGAGCGGAGGTGGTGAGGAAGGTGACTTTTGAGGCGCCTCATAAGGGAAGGGTGGTGAGGAAGGTGCACGGAAGGGAGAGGAGGAACTTGAAAGGGTCAGCGGAAACGGGAAAGAGTGCTGCGGTAGACAGGGGATGAATCAGACACAGATGGAGTGAAACAGAGGAGGGTGTGCGGAGGCGAGAGGAAGAGGGGGGGAAAAAAGATCGGAGAAAAGGCTTTCATAGATGAATGCATAGTACAACCAAGGAGCATTGCAAACGATTCGTATGCATGACGACCCGAATCAGAAAAACGGGAAGGGGTGTGAGAAAGAAAGGAAGCTTCTTCCAGCCATGCAGCACCCAACCCAACCATGCAGCACCCAACCCAACCATGCAGCACCCAACCCAACCATGCAGCACCCAACCCAACCATGCAGCACCCAGACATACATCACTCTCAGCAGGGCGCACCTGCTCGGCTACTTGCTGGTCGCGAAGGCTAAGGCCGTCTGGTTGGAAGGGACCCACTGCATGCACGTGCAGCGCCCAGTCCTCCAGCGTGTCGTTGTGGCCTGTGAGAGGATGACAGGTAGCATGAGTGTGGGGAGAGAGAGAGTGGGGAGAAATGAGATGGGGGGTGGATTGATGAGGGGAAGAGGGGGGAGGGGGAGGGGGAGGGGGGAGGGGAGGGAAGGGGAAAGGGGGAGACGGGGAGGGGAGGAGGAGAGTAGGATTTTTTCTATAATTCTGAATGTATCGGAAAGGGCATACAGTGAATGGATATTTTTATTCCCCACAACAAGCATAGACGGAGAAGACAATTCTCTCACCAGCACCGTCAAATGACGGTGCCGCTTGCCATTTGCCTCGTGCAGTTCGCCATTCAATTCGCTGCTCGTGCAGCTCCGACGCCTGCGATGCTCGCGTCGCCTCCTCTCGCCTCTGACAATCCACGCGGCGCCGACTTTCTCGGCTTTAGTCACTGTCGCCAATAGGAAGCACTAGGGATGACGAACAGCAGTATTGGTGTATTGGGCCCTCAGCTCATCCGGAATCCAAACGACTGAGCAAGAGAGACGTTCCTCCTGAGACTATCCTTTGAGATTACATCACAGCGCAGTTAAGAAAGAAGGGCTGAGTAAAGAATCAAGGCGTTTCCTTGGGGAGAGCAAAGGAGGAGGCTGCGGGTGGAGGAGGGAGAAAAGCGGATTTGCCGTCTCTCTGATGCCTTCTAAGGTCAATTGCGCATTCATGCTTCTCGCGACGGTGGCTCCGGGTCACATAGTTGTGCGATGGTGAGGAGGAGAAGAAGGATGGGGCGGGGGAGGAAGTGCGAGAGTGATGTCTCCTAAAGCGGACGACATTCTGGCATCTCATAGCGAGTAGGGATTAATTATTTGAGCATCAAATGTTAGTGGCATCCTGCCGTTGTTTCTAGTAGTCAACTCAGAATTCGCACGATTAAACTCTGAAACTTATCGCTAGTCCACTTGACATTTTCCGATCGCGATAAGGCAGGTCGTCGAAGGCTGAGAGGCTAGATCACTATGTCGTCGGGTCGCCAGGTCGATAGGGCACTGACTGGTCGCTAGTGCCATAATTCGCATGTTCACATATACTACCTCTTCGTATGCTGGACGCAGTACATAACATTCGCGGTAGTGGTCATTAGGGTTTCGCTTGTTCCATTATCGCGAGAGTGAATGAAGAGGTCTGTGCTCGTCAAACAGGGTCAGCCACTGCCCTCGTTCGTCTGACCAGGCGGGATTCTTGGGTTCGACACGCCCTGCTGGCACGCCACGCCACCACCGAAACTCATGTCACGTTGGAGTTCGCGAGAGCAGGGTAACTTGACGATACCATCGCAGATCCAAACTCCACGGGTGAATGGGAGGTTGGAATTTGCGAATTCGACGCCGTTAGCGAAGTTGGCCTGTCGCAGCCACGAAGAAATTTGCAAAGCAAATTTGTTGCGGGAAACTGGGCCTCTCCGTTTCCCTCAACTCCAACCCTAACCCTGGATTTCCTACTACTAATTTATAGCTTTCCTCCTCCTTGGACATCCGAGTCGTCTGCACACCAGTAGTATTTGTCTTTTGGTTCAACCTTCTACAGATGTCCACGCACTTCTATTGAGCTTTAGTAGAAACACTGCTAGTTGCGCACAGCTTCACAAGCGCCGCTTGTGAAAGTTACCAGCCTTTTCCTGGAAGCTCGCCGCACCAATGACAATCAAGGAAAGGATCATACCGCTCGGCTTACTCCTCTTTCTGACGTGTCTCGCCCTGGTTTCTCCAGTCCGCTGTGTCCCGTTCGCCGGCTCCCAAGGTAACGAACTTTGGCGTTCAGGAGGCCGCCTTTGAACGACCCCCACCCTCACCTCCAATCCTCCTGTATTCTGTTGACCTGGAAACAAAATGTCTTATGGAGTCTTGGTGACGGTAGAAGTATTCGGTCCAGCAAGGGTTCTATGGAGGCTCTCACACCACGATGGCACCACCATGACGCGGGGCGCATCGGCTCGGCTGCCATGGCGCGTCACTATGATCAACGGTTTTTACTCGGGGCCCGAGCCCGCTGTGTTTTCCGCTACCAAAGCTAGTATTTCGTTCAACATCATCCCGCCATGCACAATGTAGGCACCTGTGACACCACCGTGCCACGGCGTCATCAAAGTCAAGTGGCGCTTTCACAACGCATGATGTTTAGCAGCTTGACCGGCCAACTCCAAGCTTGAAATTGCAGCAGCATGCTAATAGCTTCGCAACACCGCAATTTCTCCAATATTCTCTCACCCACATGTGGAACAAATTCCTCGTGCTTGCCCATCACACTTGTGTGCCCTATGTCTGGTGCAGAGAGAGAAATGGAAGACCATGTGAAGCTGATGAGCTGATCAATTCATCTCTTCTTCCATCCCACCTCCTCAGAAGCAGGCACCTCCTGCTGGCTGGAATTCCAGCAGGCATGGGGGGGGATTTGGTGTGTGGTTGGCTTGCACCCATGGGTGGAAGCAGCATCGCAAGGCGTCGTAGCTCATCTACGACCACGAGTACTATTAGACGTAGCTTAGTACTCACGTGCTGTGCCTAATGGAGCTAGGACCCCCTCCCGAAATAGTATTTGACCTCCCCTCATGTTTGCGCCTCCTACCACCGGTGGCACCATCGTTATCAGTGAATGAATCCCCATGCCCATGCTCCCATGCATGTGCATACTGCTGATCACCGTAGAGGTTTCAATCTCTGAGTCACGGTTTCTGGGTACCTCACCATCGCATGTGTCCATTCCACATTCGTGCGGCACAGGCTGGAAGAAGAGAAAGAGAAAGGTGCGACACACAGGTGATGAGATCTGATGTATCATAACTCTGATTCCTGCCCCATCCCCTCCTTCTATCCTACTCTTGCCCTCCTACCCCCCTCCCCCCCGCCATCTGCCACCAGAGCAAGTCCTGCTGGACTTGCAGCAAGCATGGGGGCGGAATTTCCCTGGGTGGGTGGCTGGGGGGGAGTGCAGCTTGGCCTACCATGTGTACTGCGATGCCCAAGGCATGGTGACCTACATGTGAGAGAACCAACTCTAGCTGGTCTTGCATCCCCCATGTGTGCACCAACTCTTGCCAACCTTGACTTGGGTGCCTCTGTTTTCCTTCTCGCTCCACCATTCTGCATGCTCTGTATCTGCAGATTTCTGGTGCATTTCAGCGAGTGTGAACCCTTGCGGTACATGCAATCCCTTGATGCCCTCTGTGTGGTTATTTGTGTTTCTCTTGCACCCCCTTTCTTCAAGAGCCACTGTTAACACTGTTTGAGACTGACCGAATGCTTTGGCGATCTCCTTAGGATGGTCCCTACTGTTTTTGAAGGCATATTGAGGTCAATTACCATGGTAGCTTCAATGAGAGCGTAAACGAATGGGATTAAGTACCATCGGGCAAGTGAACATCTTCCATGCGGAGTCTGTAAGAACCTCCCATGTTGCATTAGTGCTGCTACGTCGAAGTAACTGAAAAAAAATGAGATCCTACAGAAGAGATTAGGATAGGCACAGCTCCAGTACTCCAGTCATGCATAAGTCAGAGCACTAATTGGCCTGGCAAGGGGTATGGCAACAGGTAAAGCAACAGGTACGTGAGTGAAAGGCGTTTCATTGGGGTTTGTCAAGGGATAAGTGGAGTATACAGGTGAGTGGAGGGAGAGGAGCGTCGTTCATGTACACGCGAGGTGTGGGAAGGTTTGCAGTTGCTGAGGGTCTTGCTGGGGGGGTTGCTCTGTTCTGTGTGCAACGTCTCGTGTGCAGCGAGCCGGCCCGGTTCTGGCCTGTGCTCGTCAACATTTCAGAAACCCAATACTCCACCCTTTTTTCAATTGTCATCACGGAACCGTACCATTCATTCGTAAACATAGAAACTGAATATACGC